ATACTCTTTGTTATTGTGATGTTCTCCTCTATCTACTGCATGCTTCTTCCGTTCTGCAAACTCAAGCTTTTAAAGGTTCTGCTTATTCTGTCTCTCATAGATTTGTGGACTCTTGGTTGGAGGTGGGCATGCTAGCTGTCTTAGGAAGGGCTCTCATAGGAGTGTAATTATGACCAATGAGGGGCACTACAATGAGATTTATGGATACCTATGCAAGACAAAATTCTTTATAGAGTTGTCCAGTGATGAAATGGCCTATCCAGACAGGTCGAGGATTCTCTGTCCCAGGACAGGTCAAACATAACTGAGGAGGATTCAAGACTCTGAAAATTATGCTTGTTTACCACCCCAAGTGTCTATGATTCCAAGATCCGGTCAAGATGAAGTCCCATCGTGGGAGTGAGGGTGAAGAGGGCCGAGTTGTAATTGCTGGAGTGGCCTAGAACTTGGCCAAGAGGAGTCACACCTAGTATCACCATCAAGTCTCTATTTTAAAATGCACTTCCTTATGTCAGCAAGTCTGGTCAGGTTGTGGTAGGAGGCTGGGTCCACAGGAAGCCCTGGAACACAGTCTTCCTGTCAAGACCATCCCTCATATCACAGAGGACAGCTGACATAAGTTAGACAAGCTGATGAAACTTCTATGGAAATAGTCACAGTTTTGGGCTCATTTTCAGAGTCTTCTTGCTGACATACAGATCTATTCACTCATCTCTGGGACCCAATTTTCCCCAAGAAGCCCTCCTAGGAGTTGTAAAGACGATGAATGGAGATGGAAGAGAAAGACCTGTAGTTGAGACTGTAGAGGAGGGGTGTGGTGAGCATAGAATATGTCGTTTGTTGGAAGGAGGTGATTCAGGTCATGACCGAGTACTGTCACAATAAATCCTAAGGACAGCAGAGTTGTAGGATGTGTTAAGAACCCAGAGACTCCAGATCTACAAATACAGCACAAGAAAAGAAAGTCACCAAGATGGGAGGAGAGGATTTGCAACCTTAGACTGAGGCGAGGAATGCTTTGTGTTCAGGGCCCACATAGGGTGGATAATGTCTCACATTATGGGTCTCAAGGTCCAGAAATCTAGAAACTATGTGGGTCTGCTACAAGTAACAGGAATGAACTGTAATTAAAATTGTTGCCCAGGCTTTGTGGCCTTCTCTACTGTGGGTGTTCTTATGTAGGCAAAGGCTAATTTCCATGGACATGTAAAAGGGAAATTGGTGATGAAAGTTTAAGAAGAGGTCAGTGGGGTTGCAGATGACAGATTCATTCATAGCTCAGTGTCGATGCTAGGAATTGACCTGGGGTTTTGAATTATTCCTGTGCTCACCATCAACGTCTCCTAACACCCCTAAATGCAATGCATCTATGTATGAGTGTGTTTTTTTGTACACATACAAAAAAAAACACACTCCATTCCCACATCTATCCCTGAGCAGATCGACCTCAAGAACTCCTCCACGTGGGACATTTGGGGCTGTGTGTCACATAGACTGTTAGGGACTGATACAAGTCAGGCTCCCCATCTCTGTGTCACTATGGAAGAAGAAAAATGAGGAAATGGCTCAAGGAAGGAAATGAAGGTATCAGTATCTATCAGCATCCATTCCTCTTATCTCAGCCTCTCTTGTTCTAAAATCCTTTTATCTTTCTTCTCTCCAATACTCTTGCTTAGTTGCTTACTTAAGAGAGAATAAGTCTTTGTCTCTTGGATGGTCCCAACCTCCTCTACTCCCCAAGTCCCACTGCCAAACCTTCTGTAGCCTGGCCATGAGCTGTGCAGTAGGAAGGGTTTCAGGTCTCTAGCGGATACTGGTGCTGATAGGAGAATTTCTCTTGGGCCAGTGACAGTGACTCCAGCTTCCCTTCACCACAGGAATCCTGTTCTTCCACCAGGACATTCCCATTATTACATGACTGGTTGGATGTGTCCTTTCCCCTCCTAGTTTCAGAATAACTCTCTAAAGGGCACAGGTTTGAGGTTCCTCTCCTGGAGTGCTACCCATGGGGAGTCCTGTTGTCCCCCATGGAATGGTGAGAACTCGGCATCCCACAGGTGTTCTTCTAGAAATACCGGCTTCTACATTCTCCTCAATCAACAAGCATGCTTTGCCCCTGGATTGGGTGTCACTAGTCGAGTTTGCTCCTGGACCACATTCTTCCCACAGATTTTCTTAATAGGGTGAAGCTTAGATAAGCCTTTAGATTGGAATAGGTTGATAGGCCCAGGTCAATGAGGAATTGCTTTGGTTTTTCCCATTCCAGGAATAACTCTGGACCCAGAAGCTTTCTCAGGACGCTTTTAACTGGAGTGACCACATGTCCTGGTTTGCCAGGACAATCCTGACTTACTCTTTTTATCCTAGCATCCCATCTTTCACTCTCAATAGTGTCCCGAGTTGTACAGTAAATGATATGATTGCCCCACATCTAACCCATCTTTTATCATTCACCTGAGGAAAAATGCATGGGATGACCAGAGAATTGGTCTAAAAGAATGTACTTAGATTCTAGAGAAAGAGGCAGAGGCATAAGAGATTAACTTACCAGTGCCTGTGAGTTGAATGTTGGGGGTGGCATTGTCTGAGAGAGACAAGGAAATGGCTGTAAAAATTTGGGAAAGGAAACTCTCCCTAGGTCAAGTAGGGTGTTGGGTGGGGACCAAATGGGGTCTGTAACTTTCTCCATCTCTATTATGTCTCCTGGTGTGAGAGAGTGAAGTGCACCAAGTCATTTATCCTCCACATTCGTTCGTCACCTTGGCCAACCCCAGGTGCCGACCAGCAGTCTTCCCACATCCTCCCACCTGCTAATGCCTCTACTTTCAGCATCCCCAAGGTGACAGTCACCAAGCCCACAGATCTCATTTCCCCTCTGTGAGGGTAACCTTCCTCTCCCCACCTCCACCTTGATCTTTGCCCTACAGCTAGTCAGCTCCCTGCTCACAGCTCTGCTCGTGCAAGCCCCTGGCCTCCAACACCCTGTGCCAGTCCACCCCCTCTGGCCTGCACAAGCCCTGTTCTCTCTGAGGCATTTGCTTTTCCCTTCAGCTGCTTATTTCCTCGTCCCAGCCTTGGGAGGAGCCATGATACATGTCTAAAAAAGAGGAGGCACTGCTTCTGTGGGTGCTGGTTTAGGGCCTAAACGCTGTCTTCTTTGATTTGGGACTTTTTTCGGCATCATAAAAACAAATAAACAACAACACTTAAAAAACCATACTGCAGTCTGAGAAGTCTAGAGATAATTACAACTGATGGGAAGTTACAGGCATGTGATGAGTTTCCTGGGCCACGCCTGCCCTGGGCCACATCCTTTCCTGGCTGTGTGAGCTGGTCTAGAGAACCCCCCATGTCTGGTTCCTGGATACTCAGTGTGGTAGGATGAATATTGTCCCTTCAAAATTCATGCCCACCTAGAACCTCAGAATGTGACCTAATTTGTAAATAAGTTCTTTGCAGATGTGAATGTTAAGTTTCTCAGGATGAAATCCTTCTGAATTCAGGGTGTATCCTAAATCCAATGACTTGTGTCTTGATCAGAAAAAGGAGAGGAAAATTCTCAGAGCCACAGAGACATGAGCAGAAGGTGATGTGAAGACAGGCATAAGGTTGGAGTGATGCTGCTACAAGACAAGGAATGCCAGGAGGCTCAGGAATGGGAAGAAGCAAGAAAAGATTCTCCCCTAGAGCTTTTGAAGGGAGTATGGCCCTGTTCACACCTTGATCTTGGACTTCTGGCCTCTGGAACTGTGAGAGAATACACTTCTATTGTTTAAACCATCAAGTTTGCAGTTCTTTGCTACTGCAGTGCTAGGAAACAAATACACTCAGGAATCAAGGTCTCTTCAGTCTTTACCATGGGTCCCGTGCTAGAGTTTGGGAGCAGATGCTCCAGGGTCACCCCGTGACAGTCACATCGTCCTGACCACTACTTGGAAAAAGCTTCTTGAATGGGCCAGTTTCACAGCTTGCCAGTCATTTGATCTATGAACTGTGGTTTCTTCACCTATAAAGTAGGGAGAATCATACCCACTTGTAGGCTCATTGTGGGGATTAACAGGGACAACACGTGTGCCAGTGCCCAGCCTAAAGTCTGGAACAAAGCAGGCTATCAATAAGGGACTCTATCTTCCCCACGCTTTCTCAGCTTTCAGACTTCCTTCTCACCCCTTACATTCAACCTCAAGTAACTTGCACATGGCCTTTTCACTGGTCTATGCCTATGTCCTCTAATTGCATCCCTTGCCTCCCCTAGGGCAGTGTTCTACCACAGTGAATATAACCCGCATGTAGAGTTTATTCTAGTGAGGTAACTGTCTCTGCCCAAGTGGATGCACTTAACATGCTGCATTTGGGGTGGCTTGCTTTCCATCCCATCAAGTGAAGGTTCTTGTTGGAAGGGCTACTTGGTGTAGCACCTCAGCCCCCACTGGACCGTTCCCTTCTCCATTCCTCCTCCGGGCCTGACCCATGTGCCCTGCCTCTGTGGAATTTCTAGACTTCATATATCAGTGGTATCAGCTCTGTGCCTTCTTTGGGATTCTAACCTAGATATGCAGAGTAGAACTAAATCTTATGTTGAAATCTAAAATCAAGATAAGATGGAGATGTTAAGAACAGATAGAGATAACACCTAAATGCATAATAAATGAAAATTGAATCTGGAATTGAGAAATGGCCAGGCATTCTAACCCCACAGGTCTGCTCTGTCCTCTGTCCCAAGCTGAGGGTGGGGCTGTAGTTCCCCTGTGCTCATCCTTATGCAGGTTTTCCAGAGTCCAGCTCCTAAAGCCCTTCAGACTAACACTAGATGCTGGGGATCCCAAATGCCTGGGTATGAGCCATGGGGTCCATCCTCCATCAGGATGAACAGGAGGAAGTAGCATTGATCAGAGAGGAGGGTGGGTCAGTCACTCCATATGCCTGAGGGGTGTTGCTTTCTCCAAATCAGAAGGTAGGTCTTTGAAGGGCAGAACTCCATAGACACTCCTGAGACACGGCCAGATCCAGCATGACACTTTTATTACCTTAGTCTATTTCAGATTCAGGGAAGCAGAGAGAAGGGACAGACATGCAGAAAGGAGATAAAAGGTAGACAGAGAATAACTCTTTAGGAACACAGATTGGAAGCACGTAAATGACACTCTAGGGTAAGGATTAAGAACAACCCAGGATACACTTTTGGAGCTGGTCTCAGGAATCCTTTTTCTTGACCTGAGGAAGAGAGGACATTGTCAGGGTCCTGGTGGCCAAGGACCAGCAAGTGGGGGTCAGAGGAGCCTGACTCTGGGGACTGATTTTGGATAAGACTTGTTGATTCTCCCCCCCCTCCGATGCTGGATTCTGTAGTGATCTCTGCGCTTTGCCCCAGTCTGGGAGCCCCATTATACTTTCCTTGGGATGGCAGGACATTTCAGGGCTGAGGTCAGGCTCTGAGATGCCCTGATATCCCATGTATGATGTTCCGCCTTCTCCCTCCAATAACCTGCCCATCGTGCCCTCCTCTTTACCATGGCCATCAGCACGAGGGCGCTGACCAGTACAGCATACAGGGTGGCCTTCCCCAGAAGAATCTCATAGAGGATGGTGGCAGACAGGACCCCTCGCTGATAGGACACTGTTGGTGGGAAGGGAGAGCAGGTAGGTACCTGTGAGCAGGTGTCTCTGCCTCACCCCCAGGGTCCATGGGTTCTCTATTCTCTGATTCCAGAGCAAAGACCATGGGAGATGGAAAGAAAAAAGAAGAGGCTCACTTACCTGAGCTGAGGCCACAGTCTGAAAGAAAGAAAGGGGAGAAAATGGGATGAGTAGAGCATGTCACTACTTAAAGTCACTGAGCCTTAAGTCAACCTTTTAAGTCATAGGCTCATAGGCCACAAAAACATAACAGCCAGAGGGTTCAGTCAGCCTCCTTGGACAGCCCTGGAGCTGTCTTCCTCATGCTGCTGCGATGTCAGAAGCATCCTCATTGTAACCTCAGGCAACTAGGACCAGTGAGGGGGTGGGAGGCCGGTAGTGAGGGACCCCATCAGCACAGCCGTGTTGGGCTGAGCATCTGGGGGAAGAACTAGCCTGAGATGCCCTGCTCTCCTTCATGGTGGGCTTTACTCTTCCCTCTCCCACTCCTATCCCTTTTTTCTCTATCTAGTCTTTCTGGTCTTCTACCTGGATCTCTCCCTTTCTCTCTAGTCTGACTCAGTCCTTGCCTAAGCCTCCCAGGCCCCACTCACCTGCTCTGCCCCAGGCCTCAGCACTGATGTTCTGCCTGACAGGTTTGGTCCGGTTCTCTTTCCACTCATCGTTCTCCGCGAGGCCGAAGAACTGGACTTGGCAGCGGAAGTGGTTGCGGGGGTTGTGCCAGAAGGCAGCAGAGACCCTCAGCCGGCTGCTCAGACAGTAGCTGGGGTTTTCATCATCTGACTGCTCCCTGTAGGGCTGAGGGTCCGTGCTGACCCCAGTCTGGACTTCCTTCCCATTCACCCACCAGCTCAGCTCCACGTGGTCGGGGTAGAAGCCTGTGGCCAGGCACACGAGCGTGGCCTTCTCGGTGCGGGAGATCTCTGCTTCCGAAGGTTCAAACACAGCCACCTTGGGTAGGGTCACCTGGTTCAGGTTCTCTGGAAGGGAAGAAGAGTTGGGGCCAGGACTGCCCTGAGAGCTGTCTGGGTTTGGTAGGGGCTCTGCAAGTGTGTGTGAGGGAGAGAGGGGCCGGGAAAGGGGTCATGATGAAGCAAAATTATGTAGTAGTACGTCCTTTTTTTTTGAGTGTTACTGCCCCATCCTCTGTGATTATTCTCCCTCTGCCTGGCTGTCCTCTGTATTTACCCTATGGTTAGGCAGTGTCCACTGTCTCTCCATCTTCCTAAGCTGGCATTAAGAATGGCACTGCCTAACATTCTGAATAAAGTCCCTTTATTGACATTGTTTGATTTCTTCTCCATCAATGAAAGCTTACCAGTCTACTTCTCACCATATTATGTAGTAGTTATTTAAATGGAGCACTGGATTGGAATCAGAATAACAGGATCCAAATCTTAGAACTGACTTTGCCCACCAATGTGACTTTAGGACCATCTCTTAATATCTCTGCTTGTGAAGGGAGAATCATAACACTGACTTTCCAGAGTGGGTGTGGAGATTAAACAACATAGGATTCAGAAAGCCCGTGTCCTCAGCTGGGTTATTTGTATCTGAATCTGAGTGGCTGAGTAGTAAAGGGAAATTGGGGAAAAGGAGGGTCGTTTTGGGGCTGGGACTTTTCTTCAGATGCCAATACAGAAATGGCATCTTTTTGTGCGCTCATGTGAGGGCATCTTATTGTATTATTCTGTGCTCATGAGAATGGGAGGTGCTCTGACTTTTCTGTGGTTCACGAGGTCATCCTAGCCATTCCTCCACCTTCAGGTACCCGCTGAGTTTCCTCAGCTCAGACCGATTGCAGTCTCCCCTTACTTCAAATTCAGGCATTCTTCAACCTTCTTTGCTCTTCTGCTTCCAAATGGTATCCTTTCCCCTACCAGCAAGCTTCCTAAATAAGTACCTCAGATCATCAGAGCAACTTCTTGCTACTAGTTGTCTGGATACTATTTTGTCTAAGCCGCCCCTCTATGGAATCTTAGGCGCCTCAGTGAAGGCATTCCCGTTAAAGCCCATGCAGCGCTCTCATCTGACTGGCTCATTTCTTCTGGGCCTGCTCTCCATTCATTTCACCCTGTTCTTTGCTTTCCATTTATGTTTGTTGCTGTTTCTGAGCAATTCTATTAAAATTAAGAAATCTCACTCTCATGAGAATCTAGTTTAGGTTGCAAGACGGAGAAAATGCTCTTCTAACTGACACTTCACATTCCTATGGATGTGACCTAACTTCCAGGGTCAGCTTCATGGGTATGTGACCTGTGCAATCACACAGGACGCCATGCTTAGAAGGGCCCATGCTTGGTGTAATAGCTGCTGTAAACTTTTTGAAATTCTAAGTATTTTTTTTAACAAGAGCCCCTGGGTTTTCATTTTGAGGTGGTCCTGCCTCCCCTCACGTCAGCTCCTCCACCCGCAACTCCTGCCTTGCTCATCACTCCCATGTCCTTAGGTCTTTACTGGCTGACCCAGCCCCAAATAGTGATAATATCCTAACTCATATCTGCAGTGCTGGCTCCATCAGTCTTTCTGCTCTCAGCCTGGTTATTTCTCTCTCTGTCTCAAAGACCCTGCCTCTGGGATCCTACCAGCTCTCCAGATGGACCACAGAATGTACTCCTCTGACCTCCTCACCAGCAAACACTCAGTCCTTATTGTAAAAAATTAAAGCTGTCCTTTGAGCCATGTATGAGGCTCCCCATGATGTTTATTGATATGATGGGCAGGACAAACAGAAGCAGGACCTGAAGCACTGTCTACACGGCTCCATGGTGAGGATGGGATCAGTTATCCTCTGTGTCTGGGAATCCCCGCGGGGTGTGGGGGGCTTGCATATGTGGGTGTAAGCGTGTGTACTAGTGAGCGTCTGTTTGCATATGCTCTGCTTATGGGTTGGTCTTGCCTCGGGCAGAATTGTGAAGTTCATCTTTCCTGTTCCCAGCCCATCTCTCACACATACCCAGCCTTCTATTGTCCACAAGCCAAACCCTGCCACTCCCTTGGCACTGGGCTTCCCGCTCCCACTGCAGTGACCACCTAGGGGAGGGGTGGGGAAGGGAAGCACTGAATTACAACCATCCACTGTTTGCTGGATACTCCACATGTAGATTGTCTTGGAACCCTCAGAGCAATATTAAGTGGGAATTACTGTTGGTACTGCAGAGCAGAGGGAGCCTGAGGTCCACACAGTCAATTGTCCAGGGTCACCCCATCATTAGAGAGCCAGGCATTGGGACCCAGGTTTATCTGGTCCTAAAGGTTCCGTCTTTTCTCACCCGCAGGTGATGACAGGAACCCAGCACTTCCTGGGGGCACACTTAGCTGAGTCTCCTTGGCTACAGTTCAATGAGTCTAAATACAATCCCCGCTTGTTGTCATCAAATAATCCGAGTTAAGATACCAGTATTATGAGTTACTTCCCCTCTCTGGCTCAATGCTCTCATCACCAGGTGACATTTAAGGTCCCTTTCCAGCTCTAAGAGCCTCCTGGGGCTTTTCCTAACCTCACAGCAAACTATCTGCATTTCAATGTGTGTTTGTGACAAAGGAACTTCCTGCACCATCTAGGCTGTTTAACCTAGAATACTAGTGCCAGGACAGATTTCAGGCTGGGGGGATGGGACGCATTGGGGTGAATGCACCCCAGTGTCTGAGGTCCCCATCCAGCCCACAGCGGGAACGAATGCTGTACACAGAGCCCTGGCCCTCAGGGGGCTGAGGCTTAGGAAGAGGGAGGCAGAGGTTTTAAATCCAATTTTAAATCCACGTTTCTAAGCAGTAAATCAACAGACCCAGGCGTGTTTTGATTCCCTTCCTCACTGACTCATGTTTCTTTCTGTTCTCTCTAGTCCACTCTAGTTTGTCATCCTTTTTCCCCTCTGCTCAGCGCTCCCTCCATCTACACCTCCCAGGAGTCGGCTCAGCCCGCCGCCCAGGTCCGTCTCTGCTTTTTCTGCCCCTCGGCTCTTTTCCCCCAGCATGTAGCAGCTACATCCCCTCCTACTCCTCCCCCAGCCCAAGTTTTCCCTTCTCAGGCTTTCTTTCCAATGTGGCAGCTCTCAGAGTCCTAATAAATCCTCTCCTTCTCCACCGCTCACCCAGTCTCTAAATACCTCAGAGAAAAAAGGGGATCAAAACCTCCCTTTCCCTCCGTCCTTGTTCCCGGACCGTGAGTACTCCATCCCCTCTGCCCCGCTTGCAGAGTTGGCTTCACAGACCGACGACTCGCGCGTCCCAGCTCCGGCCCACCCCACCCTTCTCCGGGGACCGAGGGACTGGGGCTGGAAGGCGGGGAGGCGTCCAAATCTTACCTATGACCGTGAGCTTGGTGCCGGAGCCGAAGTACTGCTCGTAAGAGCACGGAGACCAAGCCCCACACGTAAACCCCTCAGCGCCCCAGCCGCCTCCCGCACCCGGGTCCCAGCCGGGTCCCGCGGCTGGCTGCAGCGCTGGGGAGGGTACCAGGTGCCGAGATCAGGAACGGCCCTGGGCCCCGCTGCCTGGGCTGCTGGTCCCGTGGCTACTCACCCACGACGGTCAGCCGGCTGCCGGCCCCGAAAGTCTGGTCGGCGCCGGAAAGCACAGCCCCAGAGCTTCTGCCCAAAACCAGGTCCGCCGCCCGCCCGCTCCAGCCCCTCCGCGCCGCCGCGCTTACCCAGCACGAAGAGCCGCGTGCCGGGCCCGAAGTACTGCGTCTCTGAGGTCACGGCCCCCGAGCCCCGCGCAAAAACCCACCGCGCGTCCCGCCCCGCGTCCCCGCTTACCTAGCACCGACAGCCGAGTACCCGGGCCGAAGTACTGAGTATTTTGGCTCACAGCCCCCGGGCGCAGCACAAAAACGGGCCCCTCCACCCTCTTGGTGTCCCAGAGCGCCCCACTCCCGCTCCCGGTTCCACGGGCGCCCCGCTTACCTAGCACGGTCAGCCGGGTGCCCTGGCCGAAATATTGAGGGTCTGTACTCACAGCCCCGAGCCCCAGGACAAAAACCCGGAGGTGCCCTCTCCTGCTGCCCCGGACTCAGACCAGGTCCCGCCAACCAGGAGCTCTCCATCGCGCACCCAGCACCCGGAGCCGGAGTGGCAGGCCCAGGCGCCAAGCCTAGCTGGGCAGCTGCCCACCTCTTTCCATCCAGCCCCACGGAACGCCCTGGGACACCCTACTGTCCTCCTTACCGAGCACAGTCAGCTTGGAACCGTCCCCAAAGAACAGCTGCCCCGTGTTCGCACAGCCCTGGGGACCCAGGAGCAAACCCTGCCTTCCCGGACTTAGGGACCCAGGAAGGTCCAGAGCCCACTGCCCAAGGGCCCGGTTTAGGGGGTCCTCGAGGCTGAGCGGTCCACCCATCTTCCCAGCCAGAGGGGCCAGTCTTACCTAGCACAGTGAGCCGAGTCCCTGGCCCGAAGAACAGCTCATTGTAAGAGCACAGTGGGAAGGGGCTGCCAAGAATTCCTCCCCCTTCCCCACCTCTCTTGGCACAGACTGAGGGCCACCCTCCTTCTTCGTGTCTTCTCTCTTCCCATTTCCAGAATTAGCTGGACATGGTAATCTGGACATTGCATGATGCCACCCCCAGTTTGCAGAGGAGAATCAACTTAGCTTGGGGGCAATCCAGTGGACTTGAAACCTGTCGGAGTATTAATGGTGGTGGTTGAGCTGGACTTGAGAAGTGTTCCAGGCCAGACCCTGCCTCATACAAATAATCTGTAACCCCTCTGGCCTTAGTTTTTTCACCTGAAAAATGGGGAAAAACTATCTTTCCCACAGGGTTGTTGTGGGTGCCAAATGAATTACGCATGTGCAAGTACTTTGTCAAAGGGCACATTTTGTGAGAAGCACTGAATGGTGATCCCACTTGGATGCCTTGGTCCTTCACAGTCCTAGGAAGCTGAGTCTGGAGCAAGAAGAAGCAGAGATGTTCATTGAGTCCAAGTCTGTGCAAGACCATGTCAGGGTCTAGCTCCAGAGACCTCTCCAACTTCTCTCCCCATCCCAGAGCAGATTCCCGGGGCTGTGCGGGGTGTTTTCTGAGGCAGGGCTTTTTGTAAAAGCACCTCCTTTACCTGAATCATCGTGCTCCACCCCCCAGTCCCCACAATGTTACACTATGATTCAAAAATGTTTCCTCCTCTCTGAACCCCCTCCCCCAACCACTGGGCAGCGGCAGGAAGCACAGGTGGCAGAGGTTGGTCTGGTTGAGTGGGGCTGGGAAAAGACAAATTCAGAGTGCCTTTGAAGTGGAGAGCGGCTTGGGGAAGGTCGTGGTGCTAGTGGAGGGGGAGGCACAGAGAGGCCCTGCCCTGGAACGTATACCACTCTGAGGAGATCTTCTATGTCATCAGGACTCCCCTCTGGGACTCTGTGCCCACCTGCACAGACTGGCATTTATAGTGAGGTGGGGTGGGAGGAGCGAGGGGTGGGATCGATAGAGCAGGTGATGGCAACTTATAGCACGAGGACAGACAGCCTGGAAACCTCTATACTTTCCCAGTGCTTCCTGAACCAAGTCTAAGCTTCCTATCCTTCATTTATCCCACAAATGTTTAATGAACATCTGCTATGTGCCAGGCCTCTGCTGGTTGCAAGGATCCGAGTCTATCCTCAGTGGCATGCACCAACCTGCCTTTCAGCTTTGTATTTTATTACTCCTATCACTGACCCTTGCACTCCGCTAAATGAAAATACCCAGAAGTACCTGACCCTGTTGTTTCAGTCATGCCTCTGACTGTCATGATCACTCTCCCATTTGGATAATTGAGACCAGTTCTTCCTTTGAAGACACTGCCACCTTCTCACCTCTCATTAGTTTTTCCTGCTAATCCCAGTCAGGCACTGAGGGCTAGTCTCTGCTATTTCAAAACATCATCTTGTACTTCCGCTGCTTCTATTCATGAATTATCCCCCTTGTGAACAGGTAAGCTTCTTGCGCACTATAATTTGGATATCTTTCTATTCTTGAAGGTTAATAGCAAAACATTGCAATAATGTGTGCTTAATGAGTGCACACATTCATGTATGTGAATTTACGTATAGGCATATAGACACGCACATGTATGTTACAACAGAAGGGGAAGGCTGTGTGTGCGGTCTTAAGTGAAAGGGGAGACGGATGTTTAAGGCAGGACTTATCTGCTCCTGAATTGGGTCACTTTGGGTTCACTCGTTTATTCATCTATTTAGTCAAAGATAATTTATTGGCTTTCTACACTGAACCAAGGTACTATACCATATCTCAGAGATGCTATAATAAAACACATCCCTGTGACCAAGGAGCTGCAGTCAAGTGGGGGTGTCAGATAAGTAAAGAGGTAGTTTCCATCCAGTGTGGTAAGTGTCATGAGGGAGGTGCACAGGACGCTGTGATAACAGAATATAGGGTGCATTTAATCCAACCTCAGGGGAGTAAGGGGCAAGGAAGCTCCAGAGAAGGCTTCTTGCAGGAGTAAAACAGCATTACATCTTTAAGGATAAGTAGAAGTTAGAGTACCATGTCATTCTGGTAGAGGAGTGCAAAATTGCCTGAAAGCAAGTGGCTCAGGGGGTTCAGGGATGAGAGAAGCGAGGTGCATGTGGAATAAGAGGTGGAGGACAATCATGGGTCCTATATGCCATCATAAGGACTTTGGACTACATCACAATGGTGACAGTGAGACAACAAAAGGCTGTTGCAGGATTTCTAGAAATAGGATAGGGCTGATTCTTCATTTTAGGGAAATTTTATTTTCTATCCTTCCAGGAGTGATCAGGGGACATGTTCACATTCATTTAATTCACTAGAGAGAAATTTATAAATGGATTTTTAACTTAAACTGGAGGATACATCTGCTACTGAGAACCAATAGCCAAGTCAGTACATTCTCTTCTCAGCTAGGAAGCCTCCACGGCGATAAATGAAGATTAGAGTGTACTCAGTGAGACAGCTGAAAGGAATGTGGGCAATAGAGATAAAGCCAAGCTTTGTTAGCCAGGGGCATATGGCCAGTTGGCAGATGGACACACCTATGTAGGTCAGCTCTTCCTCAGAGCACCTTTATCCAGGTAGGACAGAAAGTTCTTATGGTCAACATCCCCATATTTCTAGGCTGTTCCAGAGTAAGCCTGTTCACATCCCATTACCAACTTTCACATTTACTTGAGTTCCCCTGACAAGCAGGAGCAGTGCCAGCCACAGGCTGGGTCCCTTGCCCCTCGCACCTGAAGGGACTACACCTTCCTTGAATACCTCTTGTTTCTATCCTGACTAGAGTCACATGGGCAGTTCAGACATGGGAAGAAGAGATATCTAGACAGTCATAAGGCAGAGTCAAGCCAGAACAGGCCATTTTTATTGGTTCAGTCAACACAGGCACACTAGGGTCCCCCTTGGGTCAGAGAGATTTTGGTCATGAGTGTCGAGGTGTGCAAGCACTTGAGGGAGTAGATATCAGGATGAGTAGAGAGATGAGAACAGCTCTTCAGAAGCCCTGGCTAGGAAAAGAAAAAGGAAACTCCATGGTGGGGTGATAATGGTCTGGAAGCTTCTAGCTCCACCTTTGAGCTGGCTTCAGGGATCCTTTCTCTTGACCTGAAGAAGAGAAGGTTTTGAGGGTTACCAGGACACAGGAGTGGTAGGGATTGAGAAGCAGCAGGATGGCCCACTGAAAAGATGAATAGGGCTCCTCACAACCTCCTGGGTTTGCAGGGAACCCTAGCTTCTCCTTCCCAGCATGGCTCTTCCTCTTCAGTCCCCGAGGGACAAGGCATCTTCTGGGGCATGTGAGTGAACCCTCCTCCTCTTCTCTGCCACACTCTGGTCCTGACAGTGTCTGTATACTCCTGGCTCTGAGGTGCTGTGTCATCTCCAACCTGTCTGTCCCATCCTGCTCCCCTACTTACCATGGCCATCAGCACGAGGGCGCTGACCAGTACAGCATACAGGGTGGCCTTCCCCAGAAGAATCTCATAGAGGATGGTGGCAGACAGGACCCCTCGCTGATAGGACACTGTTGGTGGGAAGGGAGAGCAGGTAGGTACCTGTGAGCAGGTGTCTCTGCCTCACCCCCCAGGGTCCATGGGTTCTCTATTCTCTGATTCCAGAGCAAAGACCATGGGAGATGGAAAGAAAAAAGAAGAGGCTCACTTACCTGAGCTGAGGCCACAGTCTGAAAGAAAGAAAGGGGAGAAAATGGGATGAGTAGAGCATGTCACTACTTAAAGTCACTGAGCCTTAAGTCAACCTTTTAAGTCATAGGCTCATAGGCCACAAAAACATAACAGCCAGAGGGTTCAGTCAGCCTCCTTGGACAGCCCTGGAGCTGTCTTCCTCATGCTGCTGCGATGTCAGAAGCATCCTCATTGTAACCTCAGGCAACTAGGACCAGTGAGGGGGTGGGAGGCCGGTAGTGAGGGGCCCCATCAGCACAGCCGTGTTGGGCTGAGCATCTGGGGGAAGAACTAGCCTGAGATGCCCTGCTCTCCTTCATGGTGGGCTTTACTCTTCCCTCTCCCACTCCTATCCCTAGTCTATCTATCTATCTAGTCTTTCTGGTCTTCTACCTGGATCTCTCCCTTTCTCTCTAGTCTGACTCAGTCCTTGCCTAAGCCTCCCAGGCCCCACTCACCTGCTCTGCCCCAGGCCTCAGCACTGATGTTCTGCCTGACAGGTTTGGTCCGGTTCTCTTTCCACTCATCGTTCTCCTCGAGGCCGAAGAACTGGACTTGGCAGCGGAAGTGGTTGCGGGGGTTGTGCCAGAAGGCAGCAGAGACCCTCAGCCGGCTGCTCAGACAGTAGCTGGGGTTTTCATCATCTGACTGCTCCCTGTAGGGCTGAGGGTCCGTGCTGACCCCAGTCTGGACTTCCTTCCCATTCACCCACCAGCTCAGCTCCACGTGGTCGGGGTAGAAGCCTGTGGCCAGGCACACGAGCGTGGCCTTCTCGGTGCGGGAGATCTCTGCTTCCGAAGGTTCAAACACAGCCACCTTGGGTAGGGTCACCTGGTTCAGGTTCTCTGGAAGGGAAGAAGGGTTGGGGCCAGGGCAGCTCTGAGAGCTGTCTGGGTTTGGTAGGGGCTCTGCATGTGTGTGTGAGAGAGACAGGGGCCGGGAAAGGGGTTATGATGAAGCAAAATTATGTAGTACTGTGTCCTGTTCGTTTGGGGGTCACCATCCCATTCTCTGTTGTTCTTCTCTCAACCTTGCCGCCTCTTTCTCAGTTACCCCACAGATACACACTGCCTACTGTCTCCTCCATCTCCCTAAGGTGGTGTTATGTCCTGATTTTCTTGGCTTTCTTTGTAAAGTCTCAAATTCAGGGTCTTGTTCAATTATCTATCAGAAGAATATGACTGCCTATCTTTTCTCCTTGTTCCCAGCCCTCTTAGGTGCGTGATGTAATCTTTTAGGCTTAGAAGCAGTTACGGTAGAGTTGAATGAGCCTGGGCTTTGAGGCAGAAGATTCTTGCTAGCAACATGATCTTAGGAGCTAAATTGACTTTTTCTAATTACCATTCCCCTTTTTTTTGCAAAGTGTATGTGTTTGTCTGCTCTGGTGATAGCACATATTAGAATGAGCCTTTCTTGCCTAGGAGAGACATTTTTCTCATTGTATCTGACTATATTTTTCTATCTACAATATCCAACTAACTCTTTTTTTTTTTTTTTTTTTTACATGTAATCTGCTTTGAGAAGCCAAGGAGCCTCTGGCTATTATCTTATCTGATCTTCCACATTCACTCCTACGCTGGGGCACACAGGGTGTGTGGTAGCTTGCCCAGGATGGCTGTAATCCCATGAAAAATACTGCTCATGGGCTGAGCCCCTTCTTCTTTCCAGTGCCCAGCAAGCTTGCCTGCCAGCTTTGCAGTCCTAGTTCACAGCCAGGCTTTGCATTTCTAAAAGCAGTAAAACTTGGTTGCTGGGAATGAACAAATCCCAAGTCCGAGGGCCATTTCATCAGGGGGTTCATGTCCTAAAGTCCTGGGCCCTTTTACAAGCCTGACAGATGGGAGACAATTTCTGGAATTGTTGGAAGGAATGACCTCATCTGAAGACACGGAAGGATGGAAGACACCACGTCCTTCCCTGAAGCACCTTCCTGTTTCCAGAATGTACTTGCCCTCTATTTGGCTTTGTTTTGATCATGGGAGTGAGGTTTTAGAGCAGGAACATGGTAAGCCCAGATGTTTCCACTTTATCCAAATTTGGGGGAATGTCTCTGATAGGAAAATTGAGACACAGGTTTGGAAAAAGGCAAATTCTGTGACACGGTGATGATAAACAATAAGAATGAAAAGGATGGTCACTAAAGGAGAATCCTTTCCAAAGGATTCTCACATAAGTTAGTCTCTTACAATTTAAGGACCCCGCAAGGCTGGCATTATTATCTCCATTTTCTACATCTCAGAGACCCTGAGGCAGTTTAAGTTGTGTTCTGATAGCAGGAGTCCCCCTCCCCCCAAACCCAGGTGTTGTGAGTCCCAGTGATTCTTACTTTCCAATTTCCATTACAATTACTGGCATGTGCCCCCATCTTCAGGACAAAGCCTTCTCCAGCCAACCAATCGAGTAGGACCTATGTGTCCCATTCCTCTGGCCTTGTCTATATCTCCAGCCCAGACCGCCCCCAGACTTGCCCCACAGCTCCCACCTGCCTGCTTCATCCCAAGCATGGTAATGGTGTTTCTTGATGGCCCCTCACCCTACCATCCCAGCATAGATCTTGAGGTTTGAGAAAATGGGGCCTCCAATCTATTTCTCTTCTTTATACCTTGTCTGTTGCTAAGATGGTGTGTTTCCAGTTGTAACAGTTTATTCAGACCTATCTCCTCTGACTCCTACCAAGCACAGTGTCCCCCAGAGACCCCCCTGCAGTGCCTGTGATGCTGTGACATGGATTTCTGTCCTCAGGACTCGGGAACACCCCTCAAACCACCCCAATCTCACCAACCTGGTCCCCCACTGCCTCTCAAGCCCTTAAACCACCCCAGGAAGACACACATGGGTCTTGGAGACTAGTTGAGACAGAGAGAAGGAGGATGCTGAAGGCAAGGGCAGAGTTCTGAGCTGGAGGTAGATGCTGGGAAGACTACTAACATAGAAGACAGAGCTCTTCACCAAAACAGGGTCAACGATGCAGGATTCGAGTCAGAAAGGGGTGGAAAAAATAGAGAAGCTCAGGTAAGAAAGAGAAGGGAAGTGACACATCTGTTCAAAAAAGTGGAGCTGAGAGAAAGAGTCCTGGAGAACAATGAAAAGAAGAGCTAGAAAACACAAAGCCTGAGGACCACGCTCGGAGCCCCGCAGCCGAGGAGCCGCTACAAACACAGCAGAGCCAGCTGGAGAGGCTCCGGGGGGAGGGCGGGAGAGGCCGCCGCAGCTCCTGGAGGGGGCTCTGCCTCCGTCCTTATGCCCCACTCCCCTCCCGGGGACTGATCCTTGTGGTCAAACACAGACACCCCCCCCATCAGGAGTGGGGCCCCGATACCTGTGACAGTGAGCCTGGTGCCGGGCCCAAAGTAGAGCGGCGAATTATAGGAACACAGCTGCAGACAGCTGTGCTAAAACCTGCCGGAGGTCTCCAGCCAGAGGGCAAGTCTTAGCTCCCTGGGAGTAGGGATGGCCACCTGTCCCTGCCTGGATTTGGGACTTGGGACCAAAGAGATCCATAAGGAGAGAAGCTTAAGCATTCTACTGGGAGAGACGGAGTGGAAGAGGCTCAGGAGGGCAGATCCCCACATGTAAGGCAGGAGGGTGGACTAAGCACAGAGTAAGGAAGCTGATTAGGGACTGGAGACATAGAGAAATCAACCCCAAGCCATGGCAAACACAGTTTCTTGGAAGCCGCACAGGAATGAGAAGTTAACTGCCCTTTCACCAGGGCTGAGAGGAGAAGCTAGAGTCCGCATCCAAGGGACAATGACCCTGCTACCCTGGTCCTGCGCCTTACCTAGGACAGAGAGTCGAGTTCCCTCTCCAAAGTGCTGTGGCTGGTTGCTCCACAGTACAACATGAGTGTGGAAAACCCCATAGTTGCTGGTGGGCGACCATTCCGTCCAGAAGCTTCCACCCAGAACTCCTAGGGGCTCCAGCACGCACTCCGCGCACACACACCCTCTGAACCTTTTCCCTGCTGAATTCTCTGTCCCTGCCCTCTCTAAGGAGTCCTTCTGGAACTCCAGCCTTACAAGACACTACCCCCAGGAAAGACTTTTACTTACCCAAGACAGAGAGCTTGGTTCCATTGCCGAAAAATAGTTTTTCATTAGTTACACAACAGTAAAGCCTGGTAGAAAACTGCCCCTGGTGCCTCCCATTCCTTCTCCCCAAGCCTGTCTGCCAGCTCTCTTCTCCCTTTCCTTAGCAGAATCTTAACCCTGGGAGGTGGAGAGAGGACAACTGTGCACCCTGAAATGTTGTGGTCAGAGGACTGATTCGGCCCCGTGGGACCCCTCCTCCTTCTCCTGTGTCCCTCTCCTTTCTGCGTGAGGGAGGAAATTGCAGGACTATGACAGCTCTAAGGCCGGAGGCTCTCCCATCTGTCATGGCCTTAATGGGGAACCCTCCAAGGAGATGGGAGATGGACAAGATGACCCCTTCCCAGCTGAGATTACTTGCCTCCTAGTAGGGGAAACCAAACTTGGCACAGCTAGCTAGAGCATGAAATATTGGAGATCGAGTCTGTCCCCTCCTGTCTACATCAAGACAGGAATTCAGGTATTTCTGGTGAAAACATGCTTTAACCCAAACACCCAAGACAGTGGCTCCATCTGGATCCCTGCTCCTGCCTGTAGATTCCCAGCCCTCCAGCCCTGACTGGCTTACCTACAACAGTGAGCCGGCTTCCCTCCCCAAAATCAACGGTGTTTCCAAAGCACAGCCTCCCAGATCCCCTTCAAAACCTCCCCTTGTTTGCTGAGCCCAGCTGGCATTCAGGGAGAGGATGGGCCGTTCATGGATCTCTTCCCTCACAGAGCCACCAGCCCTGCTTCTAAAACTCCCCGTACCCTTTCAGAGCTTTCCCAGGGCCCCTGACAGCTGGAAAAAAAGGAGAACAGTGTGGCCTCCTATGAAATCCAGAGCAAGGAAAAATATGAAGCCCCTGCAGAGAACCTCCATCAGTGAGGGGAGATGGACCGATGTCAGGACTCGCTAATTACCTTCCAGGCTTTCTCTCCGCTCCCCTATCTCAGGTAACTCCTCAGCGGGGCAGCACCACCTCCTTTCCCTTCTCTGCCCTAACCACCGAGGCTCAGCTCTGAGTTGATGGAGGCCCTTGAGGGGCTGGATGAATTTGCCCCTACAGGGACCCTCCTCTGAACTCATTCCTAGAAGTGAAGACGACATCTCCTTGACCAGGACCCAGGAGCTGGGTCATCCCTCCCCTCCCACATTTCCTGGGATAAAGTCCTCCCTCCTTGTGCCACCCCCTGGAGACCCCAGGCTTACCTATGACCGTCAGCTTAGTTCCTGGGCCAAAGTGATAGTCATAGTTAACACATCAGAATACGGCCACTCCAAAATGGAGACTTTGGACCCGCTTTCCCCTATGAGGGGCCTGGAAAGACCTGGGATATGTCTTACCTACAACCGTGAGCCTCGTGCCTTCTCCGAAGAAGACTTCAGTGTTCACACAGTGACATGGGGCAAGGAGAAAAATGAATTTGAGGCATGGAGAGAAGAGGGGCCCTGGCTGGGGTCTGGAGGACTCTGGGATAAAAATTCCCCTCCTGTGCTTTATAGATATAGTGCAAAACAACATTTTTGACTTTTGACTTTTGGGGCCATGGAGTGTGACCAGAGGCCATCCAGAGGCCCTCAATTCTCTCCGGGGGTCCATCAAAGGGATGTGGGCCTGGAGAGGAGGGCAGCGTCCCAGATCTCATTACCGCATCCATGGAAAGCCAGGATATCTCTGGCTTCTTCCTTTATAGAACGGGTCATCTCCATGGACCTTCCCACTGACCTTGTTCCAGGTTCCATGGGGATTGGGATGAAAGGATGTCCCTGAGTCCTTCACCCATGAGGCCACTGAGGCATTCTTCTTGCATCTGGTCTGGGCTGTCTGCCTGGAAGCTTCAGTTTTGAGCCAGGCCTATCCTTACTCATGGTCTTGGCTTGACAGGGAGACAGGGGTGAGGCAGAGGCATTCTGATTCAAACCACGCCTGGGCCTGGGACCTGGGAGAAAAGTGGAGGGACGGCAGGCGTTGGGACAGGCAGAAAGGTTTTTGTAAAGGTTGTCCATAAAGTTGAATCACCGTGGCCTGCTGTCCCCACAATGTTACAGCTTTGTACAAAAACGGCCCCGCCCATGGGCCCGCCCCTCGGAGTGTGGAAGAAATCACCAGAGCAGCTGCTCCTTTGAGCGCGCTGGAGGTTGGGGGCGGTGCCATCACCCCTCATGGTGTGAGGTGTAAGGGGGGTATGGGCCACGCAAAGGGGGTCCCCTCCTCACACCCATGCCCTTTCTTCAGGCTGTTCTTAGCTCCACAGTGTCTGTCTTTGGGGGCTGTCTGCTGTGGGGGCTGGTCTTTACCCATATCCACCCCTCTCCAAGCTGTCATCAGAGTGGGGACCCACCCTGCCAAGGAGCAGAAGCCCCCTCTCCAGCCTGAGCCTGCCCCTGAGTCTATGTCACTCAGAGGTCCCACCTTTCATCTGAGAATGAGATCACCTAATACTCAGACTCTGTCCCTTTGGCCCAACTCTAAACCTCAAGGGTGGTCTGGAGGAGAAGTGAGCATGAGCTACAGAGAGGTAGAGCTTTTCTAGAGAGAGATACAATGAGAGCTGAGAGCTCAGCTGGGTTTCTAATGGGTGTGGGTGAGGGAAGACCACAACTTGCCTCACTCCCCATTGTGGACTTCAGACATCAGAGTTAGGTAAAGGGAATCAGGGAAGTACATGCAGGAAAGAAGGATATACGACGAAGTCTCAGGAACATTCGAATACAATTGCATGGTCACATAATCCTGCTCATAGTCTTCCCTCTTTTCCCAGAAGGGTAGACACATTTTAAACTGTTGGCAGGTGTTTTAAATTCCCTGCACGAGATGATCTTGATGTTTAGCCTCCATTTGAGTGGCCTAGATCTCATTTCACTAGATGGTGCTTCCTTTTATTGCCTTTTAAACTATGACTTAAACTCTAGAAGGAAAAAAAAAAGACAAACTTGACTACATGATGATGACACACTTACACAGAAAAATATACATAGAATCAAAAGATAAGTGACAATATGAGAAAAACACTTGCAATTCTCATTGTAAGGGTTAATCTCCCCAGTATATGACAAACTCCTAGAAATAGGTAAGAAAATAATCCAATAGCCCAATAAAAATGGCAAAGAACAGATGGTTCAGAGAAAAAGAAACCCAAATGGTGCTTAGCCATAGGAAGAATATCTCTCAATGATAAATGCAATGTAAAACTACACTGAAATGCTGCTTTTCATCCATTTGATTGACAAAATCCTGAATTATGGAAAGCCACTTTCCTGGCAGTATTTGGTGAAATATGTCCTTTGACACATTGATTGCTGGTAGGAGTGCGAAATGAGGCAACCCTTAGAGGGAGAAATTTGAAAACATCTGTAAAAATTACAAAAGCGTTTACTTTTCACCCAGAAGTCCCACTTACGGGAATTTATCTTGTAAATATTCTTACATACAGATGAAAAATGTGTGTAAAATATTTGCGTTATTTGGAATAGCAAAAATATTGAGAAAAACTCAAGTACCCATGAGCAAGGCACTGGATAAATAAGCTGTGATACAATCACAAAATGGAATGTTATTCAATGCTAAAAAGTCATGGAAATGTTTTCTCTTGCTGTGGAAAGCTCTCCAAGATAGATTGTTAACTGGAAGAAAGCAAGTTGCAAAATAGTGTTCCTGCATGCCACCTTTTGTCTAACAAAAGGGAAAATGGTTACACTTTTGTTTGCTTGATTCTTCATAAAGAAACACTGAAAGGATGAAAGAGAAACTGATCAAAGTGATTACCTATTAAGAAGGAGTGGAGTAGACAGAAACAGATGGAAGTAAAAGAAACATTTCTCAGTGTCAACTTTATTGTATTCTTTGGGTTTTTGAGCCGTACAGCTATATTATTTATTTGGAATAACACGATAAAATTTTAAAAGAAAAGAAAAACAACAAAATGTAGCTTTTAAATAATGTTTTTAAATTTGTTCCTTAAAAAAACTACTTAATTTACAAAGTCATTTTTTTTCAAAGAAGTTCAGTTTATGTAAAAAGCTGTTTTATGGTCCTGAATTTGCTTAATGAGTCTCCAATCACTTAGGAGGCTTGTGAAAAATGCATATTTCTGAGTATTTCCTAGGATCTTTCGAGTTAAAACTCTCTACAGGGGGCTGGCCCAGTGGCTCAGCTGGTTAAGTGCGCAAGGTCCACTTTGGCGGCCCAGGGTTCACTGGTTCAGATCCCAGGTGCGGGCACGGCACTGCTTGGCAAGCCTTGCTGTGGTAGGCATCCCACATATAAAGTAGAGGAAGATGGGCACGGATGTTAGCTCAGGGCCAGTCTTCCTCAGCAAAAAGAGGAGGATTGGCAGTGGATGTTAGCTGAGGGCTAACTTTCCTCCAAAAAAACTCTGACACAATAGGCAAGAACTGTTTTAAGAAATGCGGTATCGGGGCTGGCTAATCTTCCTCAAAAAAAAAAAAAAAAAAAAAGCTCTCTAGGGTGCAAGGGTGTGGCTTTTAGAATTTAGGGGGCAAAAAGGGGAAGACAGTCTGTTTAACTCAGGAATAGTGACAGCTCTCATGACACTCTCCCATAAGCCTGAATAAAATGTCATCGACTGGTTTTATCAACTGGAATGTGGCAAGGCCTCTTTATTCCCTTCCCACATTGAGGGACACTTTCATCCATGTAATGACTTATTTGGTCTATTTCCATATATTATCCTGTCTTCTTTATCTTTTGGCCTATCACTAATTTACCCTCTAAGTTTCTTTTTGACCATCTATCTGAGGACCCTCATCCCGACTGGCCTTACAAAGAATAACACCACTCTGTCTTGGCATCACAGCCACCTTTAATCCTGGCGGAGTTTGTCCCAGCTTTGCCCTCTGTCACGCTATCAGTATGCCCACGTTCACGTGCAGATCTTTTTCCATAATAGGAACCAAGACCCCTTATGCAGGTGTAGAGTGGGGTCATTCATCAACTTGGGCAGCAGGAGGCAGCCTTTCCTCATTTTTTTCTTTTTAGACCTAAGTAACTGCAATCTCAACGTGGCCACTTGAGGGCGCGAGAAGAACGTGGATAGTGCTCCTGGGGACAGGAGCAAGAAGCCTTTCTGAAGGTGTGTGTTGGCATGTGCAGAGAAGAGATGCAAATGACATGTATGTGTGCAATTCTTGAAAACTTTCAAGCATGTTAATAGACTCATTTTAACTCCAAATTTGTTTCCTAATTTCTTCAGATGAAACTGAAACCTGAAGAGGCTAAAGGGGTTGCCCAAAGTCATGCATGATGAAGAGACAGAGCTGGAGCCAGCAGCCAGGCCTCCTTACTTAAGTTCTGGGGCTCTGGGAGGTGCTGCTGCCCCTGAGGCCGCTGAGGCCCCCACCTTCAGGGAAGCCCACCTGCTGGAGCCAGAACACCTGGACTCCCACACGGGCCTTCCACTTATGTCTGTGAGACCCTGGGCAAGTTCTACACCTCTTTATACTCAAGTCTCCTTATCTGTAAAATGGGAATAATAATAATAATGACGCCTTCCTTATGGAGTTCTTATGAGAACTAAATAAGATAATACACATAAAGGTTTGTCCTGGTGCCTGAACATAGTCAGCAAAAATGTGAGTTGCCATTGTTTTCACGGAGAGTGCTGGCCTGGGGATATCGCTCCCGCCCTGGTTCTCAAGCTTTAGCATGCATCAGAATGACCTGGACGTCTTGTTCAAATGCAAGTTGTTGAGCTGCATCTCGGAACTTCTGACTCAGTAGGTCTTGGGTGAGGCCCAAGAATTTGCATTTCTCCTAAATTCCCAGGTGATTCTGGTGCTGCTGGTCCAGAGACCACACCTTGAGAATCATTCTTCTGGAAGTCTCCTTCTGTCTTCAGTACATTGCTTCCACTGCTAGTTCATACTTTATTCAATCAATCACTGGGTGCCAATTATATTCCAGATATGTCTAATCACTGGATCTACCAGGGTGAGTAAGACAAGATATCTTCCCTAAGGAGCTCTCCCTGGAATGCCAAAGTAGATGCATCCATGTTTACTAACAGCATGAGCAGGACCATGTAGAAGTCAGCATGGAATAGAAGGAGGAGACCTCATTCAGACCAGGGGGTCAGAGGGGCCAGTGCAGGGGCAGGGGGAGGAGGATTGGGAGTGGGAAAAGTCAGAAAAGACTTTTCTGAAGAGGGTGAAGGGGCAGGTGGGCAGAGCATCAGATGGACTCCAGATAGACCAGTAGTGTCCAGAGGAGCATGGCTTCGTGGAGGAAAAACAGGACTTCTGAGCACTAGAGCTTGGCAGGGGAGGGGAGGAGTGGAGAGACAGCCTGGAAACGCAGGCAGGGCAGCACAGGAAGAACCCTGCATCTCCAGGATGAGGAGCTTGGTTCAGTTTTGGAAGCTGTGAGAAGTCAGGAAAGGTATTCATCAGGAGTTGAGGTAGCCTGCAGGGCCTCTCTGAGTGCAGTGTTAGAAGATGGACTGGAGACCAGGCCTCTCAGGAAGTACAGTGAGGTGGGGATGGGCGGGAGAGAGGTTGAAGAGCAGCGGTGAGGGACCAGGAGAGACTGGGAAGTGGGGTGGAGAGAGAGGGCTTTTGAGCCAGATAAATGAGGAGTCAAACCCCAGATCTACCACTTGCTGGATGAGGGACGTGAGTAAACTACCAATCTACTCTGAACCTCTGTTTTCTTGTCTGTACCACTGGAACAATACCCACTCCAGAGGGTGGGGGAACTACCTGTGACAATGCCTGTAAAACACTCAGTATGGTCTAAACATATTGGAATCATTACATGGGATGGACAAAGGACGAATTTCCCAGGAGCATGAGGGATGGAGACCCAGGGAGCTCTCTTGTCCCTCTCGGACACATGAGCTGGTTGTTGGGAGACAGGGGCCAGTGGGGCCTTCTGCTGCCAGGACAGGGTACAAGCTGGTTAATAAGAGCATGTGACAAAGGGCACTAGAAGAGGCCAAGGTGATGGGCGCAGGCGTCTGCCTAGAGGTGTTTGCTCTGGGTCCAAGGGAAGGGGGTGGTGGGTCCTGTACACTGTGCCCTGTGTGTGCTGCATTAGCACCACGCTCAGGACTGGAGAAGTGCCAAGGTCAAGGCACCTCTTTAACACAGCCTTTCTGAAACGTACTTTCCTCTAGAAGATAGCCCCCCGCTGCCCCGTGCTTATTATGTTTTGGATTCCATCTCTTCACATGCTGCTAAATTAGTATTCCATAAAACACATTGTGGTAGGTGGGGTGCTCTGCTCACCTGTGAGGGGTAGAGCTCTGTCTGACCTCAGATGGGAGGGGGTTTCCCAGAGCCGGGGGGCCGGAGGGAGCAGGTACAGACACAGGTGGTTGCGCAGGGTCAGTTTATTAGCATAGTGATAGCAGAGAGACCGAGGGCTTTAGCTGTTGGCAGCGATGGTCTGCTGAATCCAGTCCACGTAGTTGGACACCTTGGTGTAGACTCCAGGCCTGTTCTTCTGGGCACAGCCATAGCCCCAGGAGACAATTCCCTGGAGCTGTCCATTGCAGACCACAGGGCCCCCAGAGTCACCCTGGAGAGGAAGAAGGCGGGACAAGTTTTATAAAGAGAGAAAAAAGGGGTAATAGAGCCACATGCAATCTGAACATTAAAAGACCCTGTTCAGGTCATCCCTGTGGCTCCACATCCTTCTCATGGTGGCCCATTCTTACTTAGGAGACAACATGCCACACAAACTACCCTTCCACACTTCTCCACTGGACCACTGCACGGAGTCCCCTCTGTCAGCCCCACAGCCTCGGTGTTCAAGTCCCCCTCCCAGGTGGGCCTTGTGGATGGGCAGGGGTCTCAGCCAGCGAAGGGTCCAGTCACCTGGCAGGAGTCCTTGCCTCCCTCCAGGAAGCCGGCACAGACCATGTTCTTGGTGATCTCCCCAGGGTAGGAGGCCTCGCACTCAGCCTGACTCAGCAGCGGGGCTTCCAGGCACTGCAGCAGGTCTGGGTAGTTGCCTGTGGGGAGTAGGAAGAGATCAAGGAAAGGAGAAATGGGGGTCAGACCAGGATGGGCCACAGTAATCCAGTGCCAAACACCGAGGGCAGCCAGGAGAGGACCCCAGGAACGTAAGCCTCAGCAAGGAACAGTGGATTTTAGTTTCCAGAATGATCAGTGTTGAACCCCTCCCTAGAAGTGATCATAGCAAGTGTGTATTTGTCCTGTCTTTGGATTCATTCTTCTGGAAGTCTCCTTCTGTCTTCAGTACATTGCTTCCACTGCTAGTTCATACTTTATTCAATCAATCACTGGGTGCCAATTATATTCCAGATATGTCTAATCACTGGATCTACCAGGGTAAGTAAGACAAGATATCTTCCCTAAGGAGCTCTCCCTGGAATGCCAAAGTAGATGCATCCATGTTTACTAACAGCATGAGCAGGACCATGTAGAAGTCAGCATGGAATAGAAGGAGGAGACCTCATTCAGACCAGGGGGTCAGAGGGGCCAGTGCAGGGGCAGGGGGAGGAGGATTGGGAGTGGGAAAAGTCAGAAAAGACTTTTCTGAAGAGGGTGAAGGGGCAGGTGGGCAGAGCATCAGATGGACTCCAGATAGACCAGTAGTGTCCAGAGGAGCATGGCTTCGTGGAGGAAAAACAGGACTTCTGAGCACTAGAGCTTGGCAGGGGAGGGGAGGAGTGGAGAGACAGCCTGGAAACGCAGGCAGGGCAGCACAGGAAGAACCCTGCATCTCCAGGATGAGGAGCTTGGTTCAGTTTTGGAAGCTGTGAGAAGTCAGGAAAGGTATTCATCAGGAGTTGAGGTAGCCTGCAGGGCCTCTCTGAGTGCAGTGTTAGAAGATGGACTGGAGACCAGGCCTCTCAGGAAGTACAGTGAGGTGGGGATGGGCGGGAGAGAGGTTGAAGAGCAGCGGTGAGGGACCAGGAGAGACTGGGAAGTGGGGTGGAGAGAGAGGGCTTTGTGTCTCTCTGGTACCTAGCTCAGAGCTCTGTGTGTAGCGGGCACTTGATGTTATCTGTAGACTGGAAGGAAAGGGTCCAAGCCCAGGGGCATGCTTGGTTGTGAGCAATGTGGGAAGTCAGAGGGTGAAGTAGTGAGGGTCCCACTCACTGCCAGAGCTCAGGGTGTTGCCCCAGCCAGAGATGAGGCACAGGGTGCCAGCAGGAGCACTGGCCCTGGGCAGGGAGATGGAGGACACCCGGGCATTGATGACTGCAGGCGAGGCGAGCTTAATCAGCAAGATGTCATTGTCCAGGGTCCAGCTGTTGTACTTGGGGTGGCGGATGATCTTGGCCGCGTTGATGAACTGTTCGTTCCCTTCCACGACTTCGATGTTGTACTCTCCTAGTCTCACCTGGATGCGGCTGTTGGGAAGGGAAGCACGGTGAAGGCCCTTGCTCCACTCCCCACTTTTCCCCAGGGCTCTTGAGCTTCCTGCTCACGGGCGGGGGTGTGGCAATATCACAGGGCTGGAGGGGTGGTGGGTCAGTGCAGGTGTGAGACCAAGAACCTTTCTGCTTCAGAGGTAGTTGGTGGTGGAGTAAGGATGAGGTGAAGGGATGCAGTTGGGGATCGCTCCTCAATCTGCCTTCCCAGTGCCTTTCCCACAAGCCCCCTCTTGCATCCAGTAACATGGGCATAAACAAGCTGCTTGAGTTTCCCTGGAAATTCTTCATCCTCCACAACTTGCTAATCGCATGCAGTGACTTTGACTCCTTCCCTTCCTGGTCTGGTAAGCAGCATCATTCTGTATGATCTAACCCAGTGGGTCTCAAAGTGTGGCCCCAGGACGCGCAGCCTCAGCATCAGCTGGGAACTTCTTAGAGATGCAGACTCTCGGTTCACATCGCAGACCTGCTGAATCAGGGACTCGGGGTCGGGGGGCAGAGACCCCTGTTTCAGCAGGTCCTCCAGGGGATTCTGCTGCACACTCAGGTTTGAGAACCTCTGGTCTAGGCAGTGATTCTCAGCTCTACCTGGAGAGTAGACTCACCAGAGGGAGAGGGCATTAAAAGCTCACCGATATTCAGACCCTCTTCGGGAAAATTCTGAGCTAATTGCCCCGAGACAGGACCCAGGC